CTCGGGGTCCGCGCTGGGGGCCCTCACGCCCAGCAGCCCTCCGGCTGGCGGTCCGCCGGCTGGCCCCGGCGTCCCGAAGGGGGCGCTGGCGCCGAGCGCCTGCGCGCACCCGAGGCTCGCCGCCGCCGCCGACGACGCCGAGGACTCCGGCGACGACGCCGCCGACGACGCCGCAGCCGACGACGCCGAGGACTCTGGCGACGACGAAGACGCCGCCGACGACGGCAGCGGCGACGGCGCCGACGACGCCAACGGCGCCGCCGACGACGACGACGACGGCGGCGACGACGCCGCCGCCGCAACCGCCGCCCCTGCGCCGCCGCCGTCGTCGTCGTTGCCCAGGGCGGCTCGGGCGCCATCGCGTCGAGCCCCGTAGCCCATGGAGGCGTTCTGCGTTCTGGCTGCGCTCGCTGCTACCAAAAACTTCGACAGTAGCCTCCGCCACCCCCCCTGGACAGCCCGAGGGCCCCTGGAGGTCCCCAAAAGGGCCCCACTGAGCCACCGAACAAAAAAACAAAAAAGACGCACACAACAAAAAACACGACGGGCTCGAAAACCGAACCTCTCTCTCTCGTGTGTTTGTGTGTATGTGTATGTGTATGTGTATGTGTATGTGTATGTGTATGTGTATGTGTATGTGTGTGCGTGTGCCATGTGCCGTGTGCCGTCTGCCGTGTGCCGTGTGCCGTGAGCCGTGTGCCGTGTGCCGTGTGCCGTGTGCCGTGTGCCGTGTGCCGTGTGCTGTGTGCCGTGTGCCGTGTGCCGTGTGCCGTGTGCCGTGTGCCGTGTGCCGTGTGCCGTGTGCCGTGTGCGTGTGCGTGTGCGTGTGCGTGTGCGTGTGCGTGTGCGTGTGCGTGTGCGTGTGGGTGTGGGTGTGGGTGTGGGTGTGGGTGTGTGTATGTGTGTGTGTGTGTTTTGGGGGCCCTGGGGCCCCTTCTGTCGGTGGCGAGCGAAGGGGGAGAAGTGACAGGGAGAAGGCCTTCTCAGAAGGCGGCGGGGGGCCTTCTCAGAAGCCCTCGCGCCTTCTCACAGGTTTTCTGCGTCCTCGGGGAAGGCTTGGAACACTTCTCAGGAGGCCGGGGGACATCAGAACCTTCTGAGAAGGCCTTCTCCTTCACACTTACACAATACGAGTACTACTCTCCTCTCTCCCCTGGCGACGTCCGGGAAATACTTGGCCCCCCTCCGCCTACTGGTTTTTCACACACAACATTCCCGGGAAACGGGTTTTGGCTTGGGTTGTTGTTCAAAATGCTGCTCTCGCCCAAGCGCTGGCTTCATTTTCGGGCTACCGCTCGTTCCGAATCGTGCTTCCGCTGCAACGCTGGCCTCATTTCCGCGCTTCCGCTCGTTCCGAATCGTGCTCCCGCTGCAGCGCTGGCGTCGTTATTTCCAGCGCCATGCCACGGCATGGTTTTCGATCCTTCCGAATCGGACCCAAAATCAAAAAAATGCTCCCGACAAAAAACCATCGGAAGTGATTACACATTCGGTGCCGATTCGTTGATTTCTGTGGCCGCAGAGGCCCCCCCCCCACTTTGGGGCGTCGTCGTTTTCAGGAAGTACCAAGCGGGAAGCGGGAGCCCCGTTTCTGCTTTGAGAAGGCGATGTTGCAAGCAAAGCCAGACGATGCTCTCCATCAGCCCCGCCTTGTGGGGAGCTTTTCGGGGAGCCCAGGGAGCTAAACATGGAGCCGCGACTCCAGACCAGCCCAAACCCTTCGAAGACGATCCACTTACCTTCCAAGGAACCCGGCGCCCTGCCATGACATGCTGTGCGGTGTTGTGTTCTGCGCCGCTGTGCGATGCCATGTTTTGCGTTGCAGTGCTTTATGATGCAATGCTTCACTGCGCAATGCCACGCAATGCCATGGCATGCTTCGCTCCGCCGTGCTCTCCTACGCCATGCCGTGCCGTGCTCGCCCGTGCATCGCGTGCCCTCTCGCGATCATTGCCCTGCTCGACATCCGACTGTGCGAGCAGCGAGGATATCTACGCCATGGAGAGGGATGGGAGGGAGGCGTAGGCCGTCAGACATGACGCGAGCGCACCCGGCTTGTCGCTGACCCCCCCTCGCTCGCCACCGCCTCTCCCCCCCCCCCCTGCTGCCCCCTCCCCTGGGCCCGTTGGGCGCCCCCGGAGGCCCCAGCCGCCCTCGCAGGGGGGGGGGGCAGGGAGCGGCGAGGAGGAGGAGGAGGAGGAGGAGGAGGAGGAGGAGGAGGAGGAGGAGGAGGAGGAGGAGAGGGAAGGGGCCCGTCGAGGGGTCCAGGCCCTCCCAGGCCACCCCGCGCGCGCAAGGCGAAAGCGAGGGGAGCAGCACACGCAGTCGGCCGCCCCGTCCCGAACCGGTGCTGGCCCCGTCCCTCTGGCGCTTGGCACGTGGGGGCGTGCCCACTCCAGCCAGAGCTTCTGGGACTCGGATCCACGCAGCTCGACGACACCGGAGGCAGCGTGGCAGCAGAGGCGCGCAGCGGCCGATCCCTGCTGCTGCGGCCTCGCCTCGGCCGACGCTGAGATCCCCACGGCTTCACTGTGAGGGTCCACCCCCCCCCGCCCAACAGCAAGGGGCCGGAGACAGCTGCTGAACGCCTCGACGGCCCAACCGCGGTCTGGAAAAATCGCCCGCCTCGAGCGGGATCGCCAAGGTTGCGGACTGGACAAGGCGGCCTGGAAATGCCGTCCCAATGCTGCGGCCCGAAAAACCGTTGCCGTCCCAAGGTTGCGGCCTGGAAAAAGCGCCCGCCTCAAGCGGGATCGCTGAGCTTGGTGCACCGAGGCCCCGCACTGCCTACCAAACAGGACATCGGATAGCATTCCCCCAGACTCGGTCTGCACTGAGGCCTGAACCGCAGGGCGCCCACGCACCGCCCCGAGCCCAGAAAACTGTGAAAGGCAGGAGGAGGTGGAGGATGTCGTCCTCCTCCTCCTCGTCCTCCTCCTCCTCCTCCTCCTCCTCCTCCTCCTCCTCGCAGACCTCCACAATCACAAGTGCCTGCGAAGACCCCGAATCGAATTCGATGCTGGTTGCGCCCGCGATGCTATCCGATTCTGGCTGCTGAAGGGACCCGAGCGCAGCCTGAGCCCTGCCGTGTCGCATCGTGCAGTCACGGACTATCCCCTCACAGCCAAGGACAAACAGGGGCCACTGGCCTGCAGTACCCCAGAGATGTCAGCCGCCTGGATGCCAGCCTTGATGCCTCGAACGATCCACACTCCATGATCATTATCGGCAGAGTTCTCGGCGGTGTGGGCGTTGAACTTGTGCACGACAGCACGACAACCGCTGCCCGCCCCCCCAATCTTTCAAGAGATGCTGCCGAGGGCTGTCATTGCTGAAAGTTTCCCCCCGCGTTCAGAGCGCAGCCCATGGAGCCGAGGCAGTCGCAGTAAACCTCCAACGGGTCGTCCGAGCTTCATTTTGAGAAGCTACTGAGCATCATGAAAGCGTAATCTTCACAACCGCGCGCCACGGGATGCGGGGCGCAAGCGAACGGGACCACCACACACGTTGCTCCTACGATCTGCCCCGCACAATCTACAACAACCGCAGACCATCCAGCACGGGAAAAGCCAACTAGGGCCGTGTTGAACGCGCTCCTATCCACGCGGACCTTCCCCGATAATCCGCCGACCCCTTTGGGTCATCGGTCACAATTTGGAGGGGGGGGGCCCGGGTGAACGCGCCGCGGGCCCCACGACGGGCCAGGAGGGCCCCAAGAGGCCCACTAGATGGTCCAAGAGGGCCCCGAGTCGCTGATGGATCGTTCCAAGACGCCCAAGATGGTCCCCAGACGGCCCAAGAAGCCCACGAGACGCCCCAAGAGGCTCCCAAGAGGCGTTCCAAGAGGGCCCCCAGAAGCAAAAATCGTCCCATTCCTTAAGGGAAACGAATGATTTTAGCACATTCGCCTCTTGAGCTTTCACAACGTCCAAGACGGCCGAAGAGGCCTCCAAGATCGCCCCAAGACGGCCCAGGAAGCCCCCAAGAAGGCTCCAAAACGGCCCAGGAAGCACCTTCACGAAACTCGGCCGGTTTTCTTGGGAGGCGTCGTGGTGGGGAACGGCATGCGGCATCCTCGGGCGAGGGCCACGAGCACCTGCGACACAAACACACACACACACACATCGCCACGCAAGTCGCGGAGCCCTGCGGCAGAGTGCACAGCGATCACGCTGCGGCTTCCCGTGGGCATGACCCCTGGCCTGCGGCCAGCCACTTCCTCCTACCAACGACCAGACTGCAGCGCGCATCCGAGCCGTCCCAACCTGGGGTGTACTTCTGATTGAACACCGCCGAGACAGGGTTTCAAATGCAAGGGACAGATACGATCGCCTTCCAGGCGCGAGCATGCTACAGCATCCGAGGCGGCCGACGCCGCGTCTCGAGCGAGACTTCTGAAATTCTAATCAGCGTGGACCCCACACGCATTGTGCTTCTAGCTATGTAGGTGGTTATCTATGTAAAGCAATCTAGGTGGTGCAACCTGTGTGGAGCCATGAATGTTGTACAAGCGATGTGGCGCAAGGTATAGTGTGCAAGCTATGCCGTGCGATCTACGGTGTGCAACCTATGTAGTGCAGTACACGTGGTGCAAACTATGCGGTACAGTCTATGTGCTACCATCTATGTTGTGCAACATCTGTTGTGCATTATGTGTGCTGCGATACATGCTGAGCAATATATGTCGTGCAACAAAGGTGGTGCATCTCTATGTTCTGCAATAGGTGCGCGCAGTGCACTATATGTGGTGAACGCTATGTTGCGCGATCTATGTGGTGCAGGCGATGTCGTGAGCGATCAAGAGCGCGCCGCAGGCGCGGTTTTGTCGTGCTCTCTATGTGGCATATATGTGTATGGTGCAATGCATGCGGTGTTATCTCAGTCTGTAGTGCAAATATATGCTGTGAAATAGAGGTTGTACAATCTACGTGGCGCAATATGTGCTGGACAACAGATGTAGTGCAACCGATGCTGTTGTATACAATTGTGCATGCATATGTGTGTATATACATACGTATGTATGTACACATGTATGTGTGCATAGCTGTATGTGCATGACTGCGTTGTGTGATGCAACCTGTGTGGCGCAAGTCATGGTG